ATATATGAAACCCTGTTGTTGCTTCCTCTTCTAGAGCCAAAGCTTGTCCTGACAGCTTCACAACCACGAAGAACAAACAAGTAAGGATGCAAGACTCCTTTAAAATCAGTTGTTATTGTAATCTGATTTCATTTTTAGCAGCAGGACATTTTTTGAGCTGTGTTTCTTCTCTCTGCAGTCTGTTTTCACCCGCATGGCCGTGGTCAAAGCTTTGGAAAAGATACCCGACGCCAAGTTTTTGAAGTAATTATCTAGCTTCTTTGTATTTTTTCCTATATTTTTTTATATATAAGTTTAATTATTCACTTACCTTTTTTGGTTGCTTGCTTCCAGACTTTACCCATGTCCCCCGACACAACCGACCAGCAGCTGCATCTGTCAAGAGGTCCAGTGTCTTCACACGTCCGTTTTTGTAGCAGGTAACGTAGGATTTTAGAATCTCTTTTGGACCTTTTCCACACCGTATCCCAAAAGCAACGATTCCTTCTCGTCGCGTTCAGGGAGGTACAACAAGTTTTGCCGCAGTCTACCTCAGACTCCCTGGGTAATCGATGGCGAGAGGAGGATGGAGTCCTCGGTGGAGGAGCTCATCGCGGTGCCTGTCCTGGCTGCTTTCAGAGCTACTGGTAAATCCACACTAGCTGTTACTTTAACAACAACACAAAAAAACTCGAGCAAACTATCAACTTTTCTATAAATGTATCACTATTTTCCATTTTGGAGGCCGTGGCATAAGAGATTTAAAATGGATCCAGGGGCTGTTTTTCACTGTGCCCTGACAAATAAAATGCATAAAATCTCTTCATGGTGAAAGATCAACTTTGCAGTAAAAAAATCACAATATAATTGGTATTATTAATTTTGGAGCTCTTTATAAACTTAACTAATGAGGAGAGATTGTGTAGCTCTTCATGTGTTGAAAGCTCTGAGGTGCTCAAATAAAAAAAAGAAAGAAAAGATGGTATTTGCTTACGTCTGCAGAGAAAAACAGGAGAAAAAATACGTTAAGTGTGAATCCGAATTTTTTTTTTGGTTTGTATTTTTAAGTCACTGGTTTGTACAAAAAAATGTAATTTAATTATTTAATTTTATATTGTTTTAAAAAAAACACACCCACTTTGTCCAATCATTACGAAATGTTATTTGGACTGTCACAGAACTCTTTCACAGTTATACTAATCAAGTTTGGTCCAAATCTGTCCTCCAACATGACTTTGGAATAATGAAATGCCTTAAAAATTCAGCGGGAATGTGAAACTGTGACCTGGGACTTGATGTCCACTAAGAGTAAAACAAACAATTCTAAAACAGTTCCGGGATCGCTGGGGCTCGGAACCAAATCTGCTTTGGATTCATGAACCTGACGCCCTTCTTGGGCTTGAAACCTCAATAACAAGCAAACACAAAAGAAAAAGCATCCAATAGATGCTTATATAGAGAGATGAGCATCTATAAGAATAGATAGAAATGGATACAATGGGTTTCAGCCCCCAACAAGATCAGCAAGTGGTTTAAACATTTCTTACAAAGTTGCAGAATAATGTGGGACGTAAAATTTTTCTCCTTTTTTCCCGTCTTTTTTTATCGGCAGGTTTCAATTTCTCCTCATCTGGTCGAGAAGACGTGGATGTGCGAACTCTCGGAAGCGGTGAGATTATTTTAAAGATGAGTTAGCAGAACATAAAACGACTTCCTCATTTTCTGTCTTTCTCACAGCCGATTTGTGGCTTCAAGAGAAACCTGTAGGTTTTATAGATAAGCATTCTAGTCTTTGTAACGTTCCTAAAACACCTCAGTTCTTCTCAATTGATTTTAGATAACTGGAATTGTAGTTTTTTCTAGGATAATGTATTGTTGGCTCGACCTTAATATGATAGTAATGTTAAAGGACATTAGAAGAGCTGGTGTAACTTTGACTAAAGTGGTTACTTATTTTTTCAGTCCTTTTTACTTTCTGTTTCTGCTTTCCCCGGCAGGGCGTCCGTTTGCTATGGAGCTGCTGAATCCACATAGATCCAGATTAAGCAAAGTGGAGATGAAGCAACTTCAGGAGGTGTTGAAATTCTCCACTACAACCATCTTTCCTTTTAAAAATGTCTTGGCAACAACAACATCTAGAACCCGGTCTTATTTTAATCATATCTGTGCACAAAAGGGAGTTCAAAGCAAAAGCTCAATAATGAGTCTTTATATGTATCTAGACGGACAGATTACTGGAAATGTTGCAATGCTAATATTGGCTCTTATTTGTCTTTTCATAATAAATATTAACATAAAATTTGCCATTAATTAGTTTGTTGTTCAAAGCAGACAGGGTGTTTGGAACCACTTATTCTAGTTCGGCCTTTTCTGACTTGATTGAATGTAGAATACGATAAAAATGTTAGTGGTTAATTTTCATAATCATGCAACATTTAATGTGCTGCGACATGATTATTTTTTGTTGTTGTTTTAGACGATAAACCAGTCGTCGGACAAAATCCGAGTCAGAGACCTGCAGATTGTCACCAGGTGCGTCCTCCCGAAGTCCCACCAGGACAAAAAAACTTTTCCCGCACGATGAAATTTCTTGTCATTAAGCTCCCGCGAGCGAACGGTTCAAGACCTGACCTGTGCGTCCGGTGTGGTCCGCTTTAGGGAGGCCATGTCTCGGATGAAAGAGGGAGAAGAGGAGAAGACCAAGTCCTACACGGCCCTCGTCTGGACCCAGAGGCCCATCCAGCAAGAGGACATCGCTTTCATCGACGACATCAAGGTCCACAAACTGATCAGTGCACATTAGAGTACTCGAACACCTTTTCTATGTGGGGTTCGAGAAACTCTGAAACGTAACCAGTTATTGGTGGCCAGAGCCGAGATTTGCTGACCGTTGCTTTTTCTGTCCCGTCAGGATCTGACCCTTGACCAGAAGACTCCCCTGAGGGTCCTGCACCGGAGGGCGCTAGCCATACGACAGCGGGTCATCCACAGCATGAACGCCCGCTTCCTGGACTCTCACCACTTCTATCTGGGTCTGAAAACGCAAGCTGGGACGTATCCTTAATAGAAATCTAATTTCTTTACCAAAGAAAAAATTAAAAGACGACTCCACCAATGAATCAGTGAAAAAAACATAACGACTTAATGACTTTTGTCGTCACAAACTGCTCGTCAGTTTCCTTTTACTTCCATTAGCGCTTTCAGAGTATCCATACGTGTGAAACCTAACATGAAAAATAAAATTCTTAATGCTCAGACACAGCTACATTAAAGAGTTTGTCCATGGAGACTTTGGCCGCACAACGCCAAACTTATGTCGGCTGCTGGAAACGGACACAGACATCTTGGAGCTGGATGTTGAGGTAAAGATATTTTTTTAAATCTATATTTACAACATGAATGGAACATGGCTAAATCTATGGAACCACCACCTTTGTGGTTATTAGGTCCAGCTGTTGTATGTTGTTGTATGTTTTTTTTTTTTTTTTTTCCCATTAAGAATGCTTGTAATTGATTTTCTCCAGATAAAGAAAATCATAGTTATGGAGTCACAGGGAAAAAAGTGGAATTCCGCCCACGTTTAGTTGCGATGCCTAACATCGCTTCCATCCACGTTGTGATCGTTTCTTCTTATTCCCTCTTTAATCCGGTGGAGGTTTTGGCGATCGATTTTCAAACAACATGACAGTGCAAAACGTTTGTTGTGTAGCTAACAAAAAACTAGCACCAAACGTAGCCGGTCAGGGCTTTGCAGAAGCACCCTATCCAGCTGTTACAGCTGCACCTCTCTTAGAGCCAGTTTCTGGGATTTATTTTATTCATTCCCACTGAAACCGAATGAATGTTGGTTTGTTTTATGTGTTTATTAGGCCAGATGCTTCTTACATCCTAGTCTCAAATACAGGTTTTCCTCAAGAGCAATCCGGCATTTAACATCATCCATTATTACCTTTATTCTGATCAGTTTCTCAGTCCATGCCAGACACATTTGTTTATGTCCAAAAAGAATATGTTTTTTTTTGCCTGAATCTACTAGGGGACCTTCTTTATATGTTTGGTGAGTCGCCCCCATGCCTTTTGTCACACTGGAAACTTTGGAAAAAAATTCTACTTTTTCCAGTGTAAAACACAACTGTGTGGCTCAAAGTGGGATTCCCTTGTTGTTTTTTTTAAGTTTTTCTCTCTGAAGGCTCGTTGTGATGCTTTATTATTTCAATCCTGATCCCAGTTTTGTCATATTCCATAGGATTTGGTATGTTTTTTAAATATCTGTCTCTAACCCAAACCTTTTTGCCCCGACCACATTTTTCTCGTGGTTTTGCTGATTTTAAAGCATGTGGATACAGATTAACCTCATCATACACTTACTTTTATTTTTCTTTCCAATATTTTTTGTAATAGAAGTTTATAGGTCCTTCCCATAAAATTAAAGGAGCAAAAATTAAGTGGAATAATAAGTCAATTTGCATATAATTGGTTCCACAAAAGGTTGAAAAACTGCCAAGGGAGCAAAGTATTTTTTTCATTCACTCTGAGGTCTGTTAATTCAGTTGGCTCTTTATTTATATAAATACTTATTTTTGAATAGCAAATTACAAAGTGATGCTATTTTTTCCCGCTGCAATTATTGTGACTGATACTTTTTTTTTCTTTAATGTAAAAAATGAGAGATTGTTCTAGAATTCTTGAGTGGAGACTGTAATATGAAAGAAAAGGTTTTGCCGTGGGATAAAGTTTGATTGATTGATTTAGTTTAAAATAGATAAACAGTACATTTATTCAAGTTGAATCTAAGCTGTTTTTGTCTCAGTCTGTAGATGTGGACTGGCCTCCTTTCATACCTGAGTGAACACCACACTGGTTCTGGCCTCAGGCCCCGAGTGGACCAACTCCATCGGTTCTGGACATTTTGAGCCCTAACCATGAACCCCAGGAAACCACGTAGTCTGGATTGTTTGTTCTGGATTTGCTGTCATGTCTTTCTTGTACCATTTCTGTAACGGTAACCACAAAAAAAACGTTATTAAAGGTGTACAGTCCATCAGTCCTTTTTTCTATTTAAATATATAATGTATAACAGCAAAATCATGGCCTGAATGTCCTTTGTTCAACTGAAACATTGCCGTCACTGATGTATGGCTGACTTTTCTTTTTGGAATAGGGACAGATTTTTTAACTCCATCTCATCCTTTCACTCTCTATTACGTTTATTCTAAATCTATTTAAATCAAAACCTAAGACGGGCAGCCCCAAATGTCAAACAATAGTTTTTTTCCCCATTCCTCTAGAGCCTGATGTGATCTCTGGATTAATTGTTGTGATTGAACGCCGTCGATATTTCAACATTATAATATACAACCCATGTTTCGTTTAATCAAAGGAGTTTTTCTATGTTCCTATGGTTAATTGGAAAGTTTAATTGGTTTATTTTGGAAAAAGGAAAACATCCAATATTGCGTCTTAGACATCTGGGTGAATATAACTTTAGTTTGAATTCACATAAGGTTATTAAAAGATATTCAGTTCTTAAAGTTATTTTTTATTTCAGTACTTGTGTCCAAAAGTGTCTCATTCCACACTTTCACTCCAAGGAAAAATCCATGTGTGTCTTCCAAAATCTTTCCTCCAAAAGCAAATTAGCTTCAGCGTTGGTGAGTCAAGACTTCCATTACTCCTGAATGAATTTGGTCTTTCGCATGCTGGTCCTTTGCCCCGAAGAGGTCCAAACCATCCAAAAATGACGACCACAACGACAGAAACCCTGAACTTTCTTTATTTTAATTCAAAATAAATACTACCACAGCAATGCAAGTCCACTATTGGGTTCTTGCTCTAACGATTTGGTAAGAAAAAAAAAAAGAGAGAGAAAAAAAAAAGACTTCAGTTAATAATGCATCCATTTTTAAAATCACCTTTCAGTCAACTTTTTAAGAGATGTCTTTAAAAAGAACAAAAAAACATCCAAAGGAATGCATATGTAAAATTGTACGGTACAAAAAAAAAAAAATAAGGGGGGGAGGGAAAGAGGAGCAAAGAATGTCGGAATTAACAATGTAAAGAAACCAGCACCGCAAAAGTCAGTAGTCCCCCCCTCCCCCTTTTCTCCCTCCCCACCCAACAGAGGACAGAGTGAGATGGACAGAAAATAAACCTGTGGACACCACAGTTAAAATCATGTCCTCACAGAGATTTCAGGAACCACGGTGACATAAGGAAAAGTTTTTTTGGGGGGGGTCTCATCTGCCATATGTCAAGTTACCAACTAAAATGTGATCAGTGGTTGATTCTACTCCTTATATATTGTTTTCTATTTACATTTTAAATGGTTTTGATTGAGTGCGACTCTATCCTCCATCTGCTATTTTCGTTGTCGAACTTGAATTCGGCCGTCCTCCCCCAGAAGAACTGAACAAAAAACCAAAAAAAAAGGCATTACATCGATATAAAAAGAAAAAAGGGGTGGTTCAAGTTTCCCTATCAGTACTCACAGTCTTTTGAGTGTCTTAACACCTCAGGTTTTCTCGTGATCTGGAAAATGATTAGTATGTGATAATGCTGTGACACCCATGTTGGATGTAAGAATGTGTGAATATAAACAGCAGTTTGTCCTGTATTACTGTGGGGGGTAGGGGTGGGGGTTGGGGGGGGGTATCCCTGTCTCTGGAGCTGGATGCCTTATTCCTGGCAGTGACTGGTAAAATAGAACTTTCTTAACAACACTTTTCTCCTGGGAATTCAGAACTGAACCATGGCGCGCTCCGCTGTTGGCTTCAGGGTTCCTGCGGAAAAAACCTTTACAAATAAGCCGTCTTTTCGCTCCCCGCTTGATATGTTTTAGTCAAACTCCTCTGCTCCACATCATTATTTCTTTACAACATCAACCTTTTTTGAAACTGCATCATTAGAAAGGCTATATCACACATCCTGACTTCAAATCTTATCAAATTGACAGGAACCCTACAGTTTCAGCAAAATATCCTCAAGGAAGAAAAGAAAAAATCCTTTTTTATCCAGATAAAACAGCCAGAAGATGTCAACATAGTAACGACCTGACCCCTGAATTCACAGTATAGGGATGTTTTGTATTCCCCCGCTAGACTCGATGTCACACTCTGAACAAATCCGGGTTTCCAGGTTTAAGTCCTGTCCAGTGTTGTCCAGCTATCGGTAGCTGGTCGCAGGTAGGACTTCAAGGTTGTTTCCGTTAGGAGGAGTGTTGCAGGCCACAAACTCTAGACGACCGCTGGAATCTTAAATATCAGGACCCGGGTTAATCTGTGAGAAGATTCTGGACCATGTAGCAGTGTGTAGCTTTTTTTTTCTTCCCCCCATCTCGCTCTACTTAGTGATTGCTTCCGATGTTCAGTTTTCCCCACAGAAGGCTTTAAAATCAGGCATCATCAGTGAGTAAATTGTTCCCGACGTGACAAAAACTAAGAGACCTGTTTTAATGGATGTCCTTCACGAAGCCTGCATGCAAACAAGGCAGTGGATATTTTCCCGGGAACGCTGAGGCCATGACTCCATCTTTTTTTTTCATCTTTCCGGCAATCTGCAGTCATTACACAAAGTAAGTCATCATTTCACGAGGTGATTTCAGTGTTTTTAGACAGATTTCTTTTTAGGGAAATAAATACATATATATATTCCAAAAAAAGAAACTTTTGAAATTATAGCAGCATTTCAACTTCAAAATGAATTGAAAACAAACAACACAGATTTACATACAGAAGGTGCTACAGCAAAAAAAACAAAAAAAAAACACAGAAATTCAGAAATCACTGGCCTTGGCGGGGCAGGGTTTTTTTTTTTTTTTTTTTATAAAACAGGCATGAGCCCACCAGCAAAGGGGGGGGGGGGCAGCTGACAGATGTGCTGGTGAACACACACCGCACCGGCAGAGTTTAATCAGATGTTGCATTTCCTTCAGGTGCAGGTTTCAGATCCTGCTGGGGGGGCGAAATGGTCGACTTCACAGACCATTCTGGAGTGGTCACTAAGGAGAGAGGAGGCCTAATTTCCCTGCTGGCTGCGAAAAGTCGCGAGCGCTTAGCTCTGTCTGGCTGATATGGTTGTGCTGTGTGCTGGGCGGCGCTTGAACCAACTGTGCTATTTCAAGCGGTTTAGCCTAGGTAACATAATAACCAACTTTTTTTTTAAAAAGACAGCAAAACTGGACAATTTTCCCTATTTCATCTTGTTGTTTTTCTTTTTTAATTTCATTATCTTCTTTATCTTAAGACTGTGGAATGTTTACGGCTGTGCCAATTTCTGTTTGCCTCAGTGATTTCTTACCATGACAAGATTTTGATTTCAAGTGCGTAACCCATAACTCGTGCACTCACTTACAGCTATTGACGACCTCTTTTCCGATCCATCCTCTCCTTAAAAAACAAAAAAAAATTAAAATAAAACCACATACCTTGCGCAGTAGAATATGAGACATCTGCACACATAAGGCAAAATTTCTGGTTTCTTGTTCCCTATAAGCAACTCTTCCGAACCAACGGGGGAAATAGTCAAAGAAGAGAAGTGCACGAACAAAAAGGATTATTGCAAAACGGATGGAAAAAAAAACAAAAACATGGAGAGGGCGAAGAAGAAAAAAAAGCCAAACAAAAAAAAAAACATCGCCTTCCACAGGCCAGTGCTGAAAATATGACAAAAAGAAATGCTGTGTGTGTGCGCGTGCGTGTGTGTGTGTGTGTGTTTTTGGGGAGGGGTGGGGTTGGGGGTGGGGGGGGACGGACACCAGCTCTGAGTCTTTCCCACTGTGCAAAAAACCTCTATTGAAGCCCCATAGATAGCCCATCATCTGCAAGGAGTGGCAGACCATGAGAAAACGAAGGGAGATTTTTTTTTTTTGTTTGTTTGTTTGTTTTGTTCTCAAGAATGGCTACGTGTTTTCCTCAAAATGGCCATGAAATGGAACAATACTGGCTGGCTGGGCCGGAGCGCTCACTCCCGACCGCTGGCTGAGTACGAAAACTGTGGGAAATGAGGCCTTCGCTCGTTGTCTGCTGCGTCCATTCCTTCCTCATCATCTGTTGGGAGATCAGAACCAAAACAATATATATTACCATTACTATTATCGTCATTATCATATTGCCCTGTTATATTTTCTTTCCACATGTAAAGACGCAAGCAGTCGCGAATGGCTTTCCCTTAATCAGAAAGGTATGTTTGACTTTTGCTTTAACCGTATTTAAGGTTTAAAGATCGTTTAAGGAAAATGACACAGCCAGAGTTGCATCAGGAGTGTTTCTAAATGATTCTAATGTCCCTGTCCTTATCAAACATCTCAGACTGTCTCTTTGACATATCCCATACCCATCACCTCCAATTCAATCTCTCTAAAACTGAACTGCTTGTTTTCCCAGCCAAACCAACCCTACACCACAATATTCACATCCGGACTGGATCCCTGTCTCTGACTCCATCAAAGACAGCAATAAACCTGGGTGTCGTGATTGATGACCAGCTGACCTTTCAAGATCATGTTACCTCGGTCTCTTGGTCTTGTCGCTTCGCACAACTAAACGTAACAAAGATCCGGCCATACCGAACCCAACATGCTACCCAGCTCCTTGTGCAGTCTATGGTCATCTCCCGCCTCGACTACTGTAACACCCTCCTGACTGGTCTCCCAGCCTGTACGGTCAAGCCGTTACAAATGACCAGAACGCGGCAGTGTGTATGGTCTTCAATCAGCCAAGAAAGTCTCATGTCACCCTTTTGTTCTTCGAGCTTCACTGGCTACCCCTGATGTCTACAAAGTGCTTAAGGGTACAGCTCCCGTCTACTTGAACCCTCTTGCAAAGGCTTATGTCACAACTCGCTCAATCCGGTCATCAATGGATTGTCGTCTGGCAGTGCCTACACCACGCTTAGTACAATCCAGACTGTTTTAATGTGTTGTTACAAGATAGTGGAATGACTTACCAAGCGCTACAAGAACAGCAGCACCCTGTCTATCTTCAGGAAACTCTTAAGGACCCACCTCTTCAAAGAGCATTTCCTATCCTGACTCTAACCCATACCTCTGTACCCCCTCTACTACTCTTTGTGGACTTCCCTCTATCTCTTTGCTATCGCCACTGATTCTGACAAGAGATTTTCCTCGAGAGAACTTATTGTCATATTGATGATAACTGAAAAACTGCATCTACTTTGTGAGTTGCTTTGGATAAACATAAACATCCAAGGTGTGGATGGTTATAAAAAAACCAACTACAGACAGACACGGTAAATGTTTGGTAGCTGATAACTGTTGCCATCTTCTTCTGCTGGGAGTTTCTGTTTCTTCCTGCAAAGAAAATGCTGCAGATGCTTTGGAATATTTCTTAACATATATTGTCATTATATCATATACTGTCCAACCCGCTGATGTTTTGGGGATTCTACAGGGAATCCGGGAACTTTGCTCAAAGAACAAAACCATGAATCCACGTCGTACACATCCTCACGACCACTTTCTTTTTTTGCTTGACATATTTAGTGTGGATTCAAATATTACGAAAGAAACCACACGACGTACAACTACGACAGCCGTTGACTACTGCGCGCGCTAAATTCCCCGCAGCACTGAGCCAAAAAAATGTAACGTGATCCTCTGCTGTACTACTCCACTTCAATGGTCAAATTTGAATGCAGCAAGAGTCATTGGTTCTACTGCTACTTTAAACGATTAGTTATTAATGAGCTGGGGAAGCTCTCCGAGAGCCACAGAAGACAATAAACACTCCATACCTATGATAATCTGTGTGGAGAACCATTATTTACCGAACTTACCACTTTTTTTACACGTGTAGTGAACGGACACAGGGTTTTATAGAGGCCCTTACATTTTTCTGGTGGGGTTATGGTGATGGTCTGTGCTGTGAACTCCTCATCAAAGTAGCGAGTGTCTGTCTCTGAGCTGACTTGGGGCTGGAAGGGTGGGACCAACTGAAACACAAGGCCAAAAGGTCAAGCTTGAATTCATTTCGTTTTGAACAGATTAGTTTGTCACAGATTTCTTTTTATAGTTTATATCAGTTTGTAGTTCAAGTCAAAATCTGAAGCCGAAGAAGACGATCACCTATATGACTTCAAACATTATTATTCATTTGAAAAAATGGTTCATAATTACTTAGTCGTGCTCAGGAGAGCCAGGCAAAAAACGCAAGAACCAATACAGTCCAGTACATAACAGAACCAAATATCTGTCAAGTGGGAGACCACAGTTTTAGATTACAATGCTAGAGCTAAAGAAATCCAAGTTCTGGTCGCTGACAATCTCCTACTAAAGAAATTAGGGAAGACCATTCTTGAACCATCTCTTTAAAAAAGTCCAAGCCATGGAAGAGGTGTATAAAGACTAGCCTGATTCAAAATCAAGGCCATGTCCCCCTGAGGAAAGGGTTTGACATCTGATAGTGGTGAAACAAATAATTTAATTACCGTCATTAATTTCTCCTGAACTCTTCATGCAAGTTAAAATGTTTACTGTGAAAACACCTGGGCACTTAATATCTTAAAGTCAGCAAGATGTTCTGTGAGTTGATTCTTAAATACAGTATCACAGAACATTTATGTTAGTTCTAAGAGGTTTTATGAAGGTGTTTCAGAAGGTGACACAGGGGATCGGATCCTGCGCTCACCTTTTTGTCATAGACGTCCTGCCAGTCGACTGTGCCAAAGAAACTGTGCCGCATGATCTCTTTAGCATCGTCTGGTCCACCGCCAAGTCTGGGAAAAAATGGGGAGAGAGAGGAGGTGGTGTTTAGGTTTAAGTTCCATCCAATGGGCTTCTCATCAGAAACAAAAAGCACCTCAGAGATTAACAGTTAGATGAACAGGACAGGCCAACAAGTTTTGTTTTGTAGATTCTGATTTATGAAGAAGAACAAGAACAAGAACAAGAAGAAAAAGAAAAAGAAGAACAAGAAAAATAATCTATTATCATGATCATAACCGTTATTGGCTCACATTTAAGCAATTAATTAAGACTGCTTTTGACTAATAAACCATATATAGACAAAAAAACACATAAAATGTTAAATTGTTTTTTTCTGTCTACAAGACGGATGTAACCAAATACTTAATCATTCATCGATACCACAACATCCAATACTAATTCACAACATCTGGGAATGTGTCACCTTCATGGATGGATGCATATTTAATAAAATTTATATAAGGTTTAAGGTATCCAATATTATTCCAACTATTTATAGCTAAAGTCTGTATTTTGGGTTAAGATTCTAAAGCTTTTTAAAACTTCTGCCTAGCCTCTTTGATTTGTTTGGAGATGATGGCACAAAGTGTGAGCCCACAATCACATTTCCATAAAAATAAGGCCACGCATTAGAATTAAAAAAACACAGGATTTATTCTGAAAAAACCTTTATGGAGGGCAAACATGGGGGAAAACTCCAGTCATGTTTTTAAGTGAGCTTCTCCGAAAATCTTGATAATACTTTAGGAATAAAAAAAGATGAAAGAGGAGAGAAATTCATCGTTTTGAGATTACTGGAGCAGAACACAAACTGAAAATATTCAAATGAAAAAGGCAATAAAATTCAAACACAATGGCAAAGTTTACGGAAAATAATATAAATGCAGTTGTATTGTATGGATAAAAATCCCGTATGTCACAGGTATGTTTCCTTAATTTCAGTTGCATAAGTCATCATATAAATTAAATTAAATTATAATATCATTTTTCATACTTTTCTTATTGCAGGTTTAGCCCTCCATATATTACAAGAAAATTCACGTAAATAGTGAAAATGGTCAAAAAAGGCAAAAAACCCCCAAAACATTTGGGGTTTTGAGGCAAAATTCAACTGTCTGTATCTTCTACTTAAAAAAACAAAAGTAAACTTTGCTTTTGAGACTAAAGGCTAATTAAGCTGAAAAAAGTCTGATTCATCCTCCTTTAGTCAAGCTCCAAATCCCCAGACAGATTCAGTAAATTTGACATACTCATACTGCGCAATCTTATTCACACTACTCCATTTACTGTGTGCATTTACGGTTATGATAGGTGACGACTTGTGCATGCGTGTGTACCGTTTGTTGGGGTCCTTAATAAGCAACCCTGACAGCAGTGACTTGGCGTCCGCCGACAGGGTCCGGGGGAACTTGATCTCTTCCATTAAGATGAGCTCAAACAGCTTCTCGTGGTCCTGGTTGTAGAATGGCAGGCGGCCGCACATCATCTCGTACGTCACCACGCCCAAACCCCACCAGTCCACTGCCCGTCCGTAGTCGTTGTCCTCCAGTACCTGATGAAGTCCAGTCCGAGCAATTTATAAATGGACGCTAGTGTGTCATCCAATTCGTCATACAAAAAGCTTAACAGGATTACTTTATACATGTTTTTCATCAAACATTGAAATGCTTTTCATTATGATTGTGGATAATAAACAATGAGGTGCTGCGATCACAGCAATAGGCTCAAATGGAAAAGCCGTACAGGCTTTCTAAATATGGTACTTTGCTATCCTTTTCTCAAATCCTGACAGACGAAATCTTTGTATAGTGAAATTTCCCTTTGATTTTCATTTGTTGCCCAAGGAACATTGAGAAAATAAAAGTTCCTGTCCTCAGCTACTAAGAATAGTTGTATCTTTCATGCTAGTTCCTGTAGTTCTACAGCCTGATTATAAATAACCACAGCAGGTTTCATCTGTTCCTGTGACCAGCATATTAAGTTAGAGTGCTCACGAGTAATTATGAAAACTGAAGTTGTCTGACCTCAGGAGCCAGGTATTCCGGTGTTCCACAGAAGGTCTTCATGGTGGCAGTGTCCGTGATGCCTTCTTTACAGAGCCCAAAATCCGTAATCTTAATGTGGCCGTCTTTGTCCAACATGAGGTTTTCAAGCTGATGAGAAGGAAAAAATAAATAAATAAGAAGATACATAGCTTTTTTGATTCCATGTCAGTGTGTTTGTACGTGCCGCACAACTAGTCGGAGATTGTGTGATTTACCTTTAGATCGCGGTAGACAATCTTCGCAGAATGAAGGTAGTCTAAAGCCGAAACGATCTCGGCACCATAGAAACGGGTGCGGTCCTCTGAGAACACTCTTTCTCGTGACAAGTGGAAAAACAGCTGCAACGAGACAACAGCGTGAGTCCGCACAGGTGATGCAGGCTAACCTCATCAAAGCTTTTTTTCAACTGATTAGAACCTAAGCATGATTGTTAAATCCAAGTTAAACCCGTAGAATAGTTCAATCCAACTCGGTAAAAACCAACACAATCCAATTTCATTTAAGGTGAAGCCACGTCACCATTATCCAGTTAATTTCATTCCAGCTCTATGTCATAACACTTATAAAATACCAGTTTGCAACAAGCCGTCCAACTATCAAAGCCAACGGTTAACGTCAAATCTTCAATTCGGCTCGACTCCCTGACATAAGCATGCAAAGGCTGTCAGACCATATGGGGAACCGTCCAGTGGAACTAGACCCGAGGAGGACAGCCACCTTTACCAACCAGCTTTCGTCTCACAGTCAAATTTGGGAGGTTTCGGATAAATGGCACAGCCCAGAGACCAATCAATGTCCAATTGCCGATGACCGCTTATTATCATGTGAGAAGATGGTAAATTGAATCGAATCCCGAAGATACTTCTATCATAGTGTAGATGAACGATAAAAAGATCTGACACTGACAATCAGATAGTCTGATCTTAGCTTCAATGAATACTTTCCGATGAATAAACTGTCGCTATCGACATCAAATCATCAATAGATACAACTCCCATAAAATACAAATGCAATGTGACACATTGAGTCCAAAGCAGAGGGCCACCTTTCTTAAAACAATCTTGAAAAAACATATATGTATTAAGAGAAATATTAAAACCCGCGTTAGCGGAAGAGAATTCAAAAAGCCACCTACCTCTCCTCCGTTGACGTACTCCATTACAAAGCAAAGCCGGTCTTTAGTCTGGAAAGAGTACTTCAAAGACTGCAAGACCATATAAGAAAGACATTTAACAGTGCGTTCACATCTTTGGGTAAACGTGTTAAAAGTGATGTCTAATCGATTCTGTCTCACTTACAGTTAGGAATGGATGTCGGGTATTTTTCAATACTCTACTTTCTGTCAGCGTGTGAGCAACTTCATCCTGGCATTAAAAAAAAAGATGATATTTGAGATTTTTTTATAAGGATAATAATATAAATCAACGATCATTTTGGGAAAACGGGTGCACAGAGTTGGATCAAAATCGTATTTATGTTGATTACTGATTTACCCACTGATCATTTATGGTAAGAAGCTCCCCTGTGAATATATGTACTTTACACAAATACACACCATTATCATCCTTTTCTTTGTGGCACGTGAGACTGACAAAAATAATATTGGGGCAATGTCTTTTTGCACGTGGGCCATTGTTCAGCTGGTGCCAGCATCCTTTCAGCACGGGGCAGTTAAAGAACACCCCTTTTAACTAATTTGAAAGCGGATTACTTGCATATTGATGGATTGAAAATGCTTCACGTGAGCAATCTCAGTGTGTTACGGTGTGCAGAAAGGAAATCTATTGCTCTGAGAAAAAATGTGAAAATGGGCTTGTGGTCACTAAATGCACATTTTCCTGTTCACCCACCGGGGAAATAGCTAAATGGGAAATTTTAATATTATGCAAACAGTAACGCAAGAATTTTCCTAAAAAAAAAAAGAATGGCATGCCTCTTAATCAAACAACATAGGTGAAAGTGAATTATCCAGGTGAGCACCTTGGCTATAATGACTTCCTTCTTGAGGATCTTCATGGCGTAGTAGGTGCCGCTTGCCTTCTCTCTCACCAGAATGACTTTTCCGAAAGTGCCCTTTCCCAGGAGCTTTAAATAGTCGAAGTCATTCATTGTCTGCACGACAAAATACAGAGGAGAAACGTCAGGATACACTGCACCATGCTCCATTTTCTAAAGTCTAATACTTCCAAAAGTCATGACACCAGTCTCCAAAAACAGTCAAAACTGTATACTAGAGAATATCTGTGAGGATTCTCAGTCATCCAGGTCACGGTCAAGCTTTGAAAAGTTAAATTAGGCAACTGGACGTGAAGTTTTCTTAAAAAGTTCTGGTGAAGCCTCTTGGATGAGAGGCGAAACGTCTTTTAGAAAACTTCACTATTCACTTTCCAAGCTTGCATACTAGAAGTAACTCCCAGGTTGAGTCAGACACGTGCGTGAACACGTATTCACCTTTCGTTTGTAGTGGCTGATGGAAGTGTCCATCTCCTCCTCGTTGACGTTCTCTATCTGAGAAGTGGGGCTGCACAGGATGCCCTCTTCCTCCTGCTTAGCCAGCGACTCTGCTACCATCTGGATGGCTTCAGCCCATTCGTCCCTAGAAGAGAGAGTAAAGGCTTAAAAAATCCTTTTTTTTTGTTTTGTTTTTTTTGGAATATATCAAATCCATGAGGTTGAAGATAAAAAAAGTTCCATGTAACTTTTTCAATGTTTGTACTTTTTGGAGTGCGCGCATGAGGACATTTCTTTTATGTGTTCTGATTGCGTACAACTAATTTATTACACGTGCATAACCATTTCTAGTCCACACCGTTTCCACAAACTTATGACTACTTATTTAGCTACCATACTGTGTGTAGACTGGTTGTCTTCCAGACTGAAGGCTGTCTCCAGTGTATCATATTGTCCTCTGTCAAGTAAATGAACCTTGTCGCTTTCAATATGCTCAACCTTGTGCGACTGTAAAGAAAATAACACTGCCCACTGTATTGTATACATTTAATGAAAAGCAAAGAGATCTATGATTTCTTATACGAAAAGCACTTTGTAAGATGCATCCAAAATTAGACTAGAAAGGACAATTTACTATTCATTAAGAGATTAGGGAGGAGCGTTTAGGCTGAAGCAATATCTGAGATGTTGATAACAAAAACATTCTTCTTATGTAGCGCCTTTCTCGTGCCGTCCAGCATGAAATAAGTTTAATACAACAAGTTCAATCCACAGTGTGCCCAGCTATGATGTGCTTTATTTTTTATCACACACATTCACACGCTAGGGACGCACAGGAGCAACATGAGGTCAGCGTCTTGCCCAAGGACAGTTCACATGTAGTCTGGAGAAGCCAGAAATAGAACCACCGACCAGCTGACGGGCAGATGACCACTTCTTCCGCACAGCTACAAAATGAATAATAAATAACATCTATTTAACCACATAAAAAAATACTTTAAATGACAGAGGGATAATTGTTCAAAGCATTACTTAACCATCACATTTTCTAACTTCCTTGAGCAAAACCAGCCGTTAAGTCAACAGGTCCTGTTCAGCACAAGAAAAGTTCCATCCTAAATGTTGCCCTGGAGTTACGAAAGAGGGCAGCATATGTTGCCAGTTGACTCTTTCGTAATAACCCCTTAAGGATCAGGAAACATAGCATAATGTGCATTCATCAAAACACAATTTGATATAAAAAAAATAGGATATTTATACGTACATAACAAATTTCCATTATTGTTATCAACTTTTACTTTAAACCCCATCGTGTATACGTCCACTAATAAATCATAGTATATTTGGATGTTTTCAACAAATATTTAATAAGAATTAGGTGGTGGAGGTGTTTGAGAATCTCCATTATTCTGATGGGCGGATCTCCAAAGCATACAAGCAAAGACAACTTAGTAAATTTCACCAAAAGCCATTTTTTAAAATTGGTGTCAAGAGTCTACATATCAGACAGTTAAACATCAGCAAACTATTAAACACCTCAATATCTTCTAAAACAAACGATGAGCATCAGATCAGATTTCTTTCTTTTTTTTTTAAACACCAAAAACCTAAAGCTGAAAGAAAACATTTGACCAAAAATCATGTAAGAGATGCTACGCAAAAAGGAAAATGACAGGTGTTTTAATAACATAACAGTTTGACGGCAAACTAATGTGAAACTTTTACAACGATGTCAAAATTATGAGTGGCGTATTACTTTATAAATATGTCATTAAGACATATTTTGTTATATCTGTACTACAGCACCGTGGATTTTAGATTTTAGAAGATTTTAGAAACTTTCCAATTCACTTTACAATCATGTTTCTTTTGGACTCTTTTTAAAGGTGTTCATTCTTTATTTTTGGTGGACTGCAGCTTTATGCCGGGGACTGCAAAAATCCTTGACATAAAGCAGTAATAACGCATTAATTGAGAAATCCGTGATGAATTGAGACATCGAGGGATGAAAAGTTTCAAACGTATGCATGACTCCCCTGTGAATGTCAGACATTTCCTTCTTCAGTTTAAGACATTGCCTAGGTTCTACTATTGTAGACAAAAACTGCAGTTTCCATCCTGATGTTTCGCCCATTTGCTCCAAATGCAAGTCTACGACTGTTTAAATCACCAGTCGTGATTCGTTTTGTTTGACTAGTAAATTGCACACATGTTGAAAAAGTGTTTTTCACTGCTTCTCCAAGGCCTGCGGACAATGTTGGGAGCTGGATTCACTTGTAGCTATTTTCCAGGACGCCCCCCCTTTGTCTTCTACAAATATATACGAAAAAATGGCTATCCTACTCGGAACTGTGATCGCAAAGAAGTTCATTTTCCGGGTGTGGAAGTCGGACTTGCACCCACATGTGATCTATGGTTGAGAGAAATGGCGAATATGCTTCACCTGTTGACACTGAGACTTCATAATGAGGACAGGGGAGACGGATTTGATAATATGTGTACTGCAACAGTTTCAAGGAAAGGACAAATACGCTGCCCACTGTGAAACACCATTGCTGTGTGTATCTCTGTTTTCTCTATACTTTGAACAGTTTGTTTGTGAACGCATATGTTTATTTTGTTGTCGTGAATGTGGCTTCTGCTATTTCTTTACTTGTGATGTGCTGATTTTGTTCATCTGTTAATTTTAGGGCGGGTTTGTTTGTGTGCACACACGCATAGATTACCATTAAAAATGTAAAGTCTCGGGCCGCAGCCGTAGCCTAATGGTTAGAGTGGGCGGCCCATATACAGAGCCTCTGCTCGTAAGCGGGCGGCCTGGGTTCGAATCCGGCCCACGGCCCTTTCCCGCAGGTCTCCCCCTCTCTATCTCTGCCCCCTTTCCTGTCAACCTACTGTCATTAAAGGCCACTAGAGCCAAAAAAAAGTAAAGTCTCACCTCTCATCTGGAGAGTCGACGTGAAAAGTCCTCTCAATGACGGTGGTCCACTGCAGGCAGCGGATAATGAAGGTGTTTGGCTTGGGTCGCTCCGTCTTCATCAGCTGACACTCTGGATGTAAAAGGGACGCACTACGTTTCAAAACGTGCTCACTTACGGCGACTTCGAGGTGCCATTGGTCCTCCGGGAATCTTACTTGCTACTGAGAAGTTGTTGAGTGGGTAGGCCAGGTCTGAGTCCTGCGGTTTGTCCTTGTAGCCGATGAAAGAGCCATCCGTCTTCAGCAGAAAGTAACGCGGTCGCCAGTTCTTTATATACTCTCCTGGAAGCATAAAACATCAGGTTAAAAATTTGCCGCTCAGCTTTTCAGGTGTCACATCCCACGAACTGACATAACTGGAGTTAAGTTGCATGCTGGCATCACCTTGGTATCAGATGGAACAGACAGATAACTGCACTCCTTTATTTTTAGGATTTTTCTCCTTCCCAAAATTATGAGCAGTGACTCCTATTTTCATCCAAGTGATTCTGTTTTCATAACAACACAATACCATCCATTTATCATCTGGTTACTATTAGTAACAGTAAGGAACCACCCCAAGATTATCTTGAGATTATGAATTTCGAATTACTGAGGGGATGGGGGAAGCAAACAAACACACGATTCTGCTGTGTGGGACCCATTAATTTGTGCCTGATTTTCTATTGTTATTCTGCCATCTGTAGGTCTAGGCCGGGCTAAAGTCACAAGGCTAAAAAAGAAAAAAAGAAAAAAAAAGGATTATTCCATATAACTCACCTACTTGTGAGTGATACCTTAAGATCAACATATTTTGCTTTACGGAGGCCTTTACAGACGCATATAAACTGCTTTTACAGTCGCATAAAATCAAAAAAGAAACAAAAACATTCTCTAACAAAAGAGTCATTTGTCAGTTCAACTGAAAGCGAAAAGTGCAAATAAAATACTTTCAGTTGTCATATGCAAGGCTAAACAGAAAGATGTGAAAATATTGAATCCAGCTAAAAGATTGAAGTACTCTTGAGAGCACTTGAGTCCACATGTGATTAAACTGGATGAAAAGCGACCTGGAAACTGTCTCTGTTCTCCTTTTGTCCTGTTGGCTACACGACTGAAGCGTTGCTGAACTGTTTTGATTCGAATGAAGAAAAACCTACGTTTAGAAATTTAAAAAACGGTATAACTCGGCTGTTGAAATAGGGGCCCGTGTACTGAGGCCGAAGGTCCCACGTGTAATCGAGCCCCAGTCTGAATCCTGGCCTCCACCTATTGTAAAATAAAGGCTGCTGCACCTGCAAGACCTAAAAAATAAAACTTAAAATAAAAACGGGATCTTGTATGAATGAGTTTTAGCTGAGTGGAATTTTTTTGTAAGGCACAATTCTGTACCAAGCGCCTCTTTTTGTTGGGTAAAGATGATGCCGAGTGAGTCCCCCTGTTGTTTCAGTGGTCTATTAAGCATGAATTTTTATTTTCAGTTAGAATTTTTTTATTCTAAGTCACAATGCTTCTAATTGATAGAAAAGAGAGATGAAAATACAGCAATAAAAAGAAAAAAAATCAAGAGGAACGCCAATAAAAAGTGCTATATTCAAAATTGTAAAATTGGCCAAACATGACATTGGACTAATATGACACACGGGCTTTAGATTGTAGTAATATCATGGAGAAAATAGAATTTGGTTTGAAAAAAAAGATTAATTTACTTGAACCAGGTATTTACCCATGTGACGATGGATATCGAGACTTTATGGGCTCACCTGACAGACTCATTTTTCCTGCCTCATACATCTGAACTGAACTCTCTGGAGCTTGGACCGTCCAAATAAGTGGTATGTTGTTTTTTTTGTAATAATGGCAATGACAGCACTTGACCACAAGCGGTGGGAAAAAAGGAAGAAAAACACTAACAAATCAATAATCTCAGTGCTGCTTCTGATACAGGAGATCACAGCATTCCATCACATGTTTTTCGAATAAAAGGAACTAATTCAAGTTTTGTCTTGTTAATTTAAACAGTATCAGAGTACTTCATGGTGTTCCTCAGTGTTCTGTGCTTTAACTGACTTTTTTCACTTTATACATGCTTCTAGCAATAACATCACATTATTTATTTGTAAAATTAGACGTCATGGTGTGTATTTTAATTGCTGTGCTGATGATATATTTATACGGGTAGTATATACTAATCTATTAACCAAAACAGCTTGTAAACAGAGAGTTGTCTTCGGATATGAGCACTTCCAGTTCGGATCATAAAAAGCTGTAAATGACCCAGCTTTTTGCCTATCGCGAAGATCTCGGACTCAGACTGCAGGTGCACTTGCAGTTCCTACAATTGTTGCGGAGCCAGCAGCAAGAGTGTTTCCAGGAAGCTGGCACCCCCTCTACCTTTAAGGTTGAGGCTTCCGAACTTTCCTCTTTTGACAAAGCTTCTAGTTAAGGAGACTCAGGTGACCCTGAAACACCCCATAGTTACGCTGCCGGTGGGACCTACTGTGTTTAGCTCTTCCCGTTCTGCTTTTTTTATTTTATTTTTTTACTCTTCATGTGCATTAAACATTATTGTTGTCATAAACTCTTGCTTTTCTTTCTTTAGCAGCTATCCTTTCATGGTGCTAAGGAGCAGGTCAATCCCTTTTTCCTGTTCTTTTAACCCCCTGCTGGTCAGTCTTGCTCTGCTGAAGGATTCTTCCTGTTAAAGTGGACCTTGTTTTTTTTCCCCCATGGCCTTGTGCTTGTTCAGGAAAAGGGAATCAAAGTGAACTTCAGGTGAAATCTGCTGGTTTACACAGCTGTCTGGCGTTGTGCCTTTTCGTCTGAGACGAGACTGAAGTGTCACTCAGTTTTTAATTCCCCAAAAACGCAATCGTCTTCATTAATTATACTTGAGTCTGCAACCCCCCCCCCGAAAAAAAGGTCAAATTAAAGTCATTTAAAATAAATGGCTTAAATGATCAAACATAGCACCATCTGTCGTAGAAACTCAGCTAGTAGTCCAAAAATAAAATCTCGACATGAAGAAGCACTCTGATTGATGTTAAGATAAATGTGGGACGAAAAATGGCATTTTCACTTAATATCACTTCATATCTTAGCGGTGAGAACAAATGTGCAGAACTCTGTCTTTTCGGCTATTCGTTTTCTTTTCCAAATGAATAACCTCTGGCAAGATGGCTTCAACATAAAAAAAAGCGAAGGGCATAAAATGTATTGTAAATCCAGCATTGGAGGATTTTATCCCTTAGTTGTGGTCATTAAATAATATTGAATTGGACTGTTGTTTGAGCTAACAGTTTCGAGATGGCCTTACATGAACTTATCTATTCTAAAGACCGTTTCTGACACTTTGTTGCTATTTTAAAGCTTGGATCTGATATAAAAAGTAGTGTATCTCTGCAGTTCACAGTGGATTCAAACTGACGCCTCTAAATTAAGTCAGCCTCTT